GCTGATGAGTGCAGTCACCGCTAGCACCCTTGGGGGAGGCTCCATCTATTGGTGGGGAGCTGCACCTGGTGGAAATCGGGTCCAGCGTCCCAATTTACAATATAGGAAGTGAGGATATCATAGTTTGTCATCTATTGTGTCTTGTACTGTACTGCACTTGTGGATGTCTTCCCTGACGATGTGAAGTATGTCATCTGTTGTTTCCCTTGGGCTGTTAGCTTTCTTCAAGGCATACCCTGCCCTACGTGGTGTATAAAGGCATACCCCAACGTGGTGTATAACGGCATACCCAGCAGCAACCATACCACAGCTTAGGCTCTGAAGAGGAGCCTTGATGGTGGGCAGGACTCACAGGAGTTGAACTCGCGACCTCTTGGATGCGACTCCAAAGATCTGACCAACTGAGCTGGTAGGTCTTGTCCGCCTCGTTCCGCACCACTTGGAAACCCCTTCGGGACGACGGAGGGAGATCGGAAGACAATATGTCCAGGGGATTGGCGGCTACTTGTATATATCCTTCTTGTGTGCATTCCTGTTCATGATTCGATGGTGGCTGGGCAGTGGTGAGGAAGGCATCCGTCAGTGGCATGCCAGGCTGTTTCTGCAGTTCTTTTTATTTATATTAGACGTGACGCTGGCCTTCCGGGAAGTGGACGGGGTTGTGTTGTTGTTGCGTTGTTGTGTGTCGCGCGAGTTGCTCATGGTTGGTGTGTGGTGCGGTGCGCTCTGCCAGAGGGGCGTCGTAGATCGAAGAGATTCGCGCACACCTCGTTCGTTCGGTTTATTTATTTAGTGTTGGGAGGGTCTCAATTGCGTTCTATATCCCGTTAGTTAGTCTTTTATTTTGCGGGGGCCAGTGGAGGGCTTGTCCAGGGGTGGGCGGGGCGGGACGGGGCGGGGCGGCGGCGCTGTGCGGCGTGTGTGCACAGGATCAGTCGCTCGCTGTGCCGCCTTCGTCAAGTGGCCGGCGGCTATATGAGTGCCCCAAGACGCTATGACAGCCCTCCCCCCCCCCCCCCCCCTTTCATTCATTCAACGTTTCAACGTTTCCGCGCCCGCGGCGATAAAAGGAAGGCGAGTTGTCTGAACGCGGATATCTAGCTCGTCTGGCGCAGAGAACCCTCCCTGCGACGAACCTGCGACGAACACTGGCTGTGGCTGGCACAGCTCAATCGGCCGAACTGAGTGGTTTCATTTGGAAGGGATTTGCCTTGGGTGTAGGGTAGTGTTGCTCTGTCTGGGATTTGTGTTGGGTCCGTTTTAGCCTTGGATCTGGCTCGGCATATCGTGTGCATGCGTTAGGGGGGCCTGCCCTTATATATGCGCGTTTGAAATAAATACAGAATCGAGGAAGTAGAAAAGTCGAGATAGCGGTGCGTTGTTGGGGGTGTCTCTGGGTAAATAAAATTGGGAGGACAACCAACCCTTTTATTTTTGAAGACGCGCATCACTAGCAGCAGCAGCAGCAGCAGCAGCCGCACAAACGCGGACTTCCTCCTGTCAGAAGGACAAGGATAAGTGTCGCTCTGCGCAAGCGCAATTCGAAGGAGGTTCTACATAAAAACCTTTGCCAACCAACTACGCGGGAGGTAGGAGGGAAGGAGTTTCGCTGAAGCGGAAGGGGAATCACTTGAGAAGCAAAGCACGATACAACACGCGATTGTTTGTCTATCAGTCAATTTGATCGTATATATGCAGTCTCAGCTCGCATCTCGTACGTAGATCAATCAATGAAGTGATTGATGACGGACGCGGTCGGCAGCAAACGTGCCACGTGGCGGGCAACCAGATCTGCTACGTGGATGCAAAGTGTCCTGTTCATCTCTCCGAATCCTACCAAGCCGAAGAGGTCGGGGGAGATAGAGACGGAGGGAACAGAAGCTGCTGAACAAGCAATAGAAGGCGGGTGGAGAAGAAGCTGAGAAGGGAAAGGGAGGGAGCAGTGGAAGGGAAAGGGAGGAGAGGTGGGAGAAAGAGAGCAGAAGAGTTGAGAGAATAGAAGAAGCAGAGAAGCGAGGGAGGCAATTGGGGGGGGGGGTGTATGCCTCTGGGGTAAAAGGCTATGTTGCATATATGAATCGGGGGCTGGGGTGGAATTGTCCGAAGGATTCTTCCCTGAGAAGGGAGGAGTGCGCTTGGACACCAAGCAGAAGGTAGAGGTTAAAGGGTAGGCTGGAGGAGGGAGGAGGGAGGTGGACGCTCTTCTCTTGCGGCGGCGGGCGATATGGCGGATCAGCTCGTCGCGCCTGACCGCAAGTTCTCCGCACCAGCAGATCAAAAAGTGGAGCAGAAGCTTGGTTCGTCGGCCGCGGAGCTCGGCTTGGAAAGCCAGCCGGTCGATTTGGGCAAGCATCCCTCAGGAATCGTGCCCACCCTCCAGTACGTGCCACGTTTTCCCACCATCCCCGGTTGGCACGTGGCAGTCAGTCCCACAAATGTTCTCGACCCCCACCAGAAGCCGCATCATAACGAGCACGATATATTTACTTAGAGATTGATCGATAAATAGATAGATAGATAGATAGATAGACACAGAGAGAGAGAGAGAGAGAGAGAGAGAGAGAGAGAGAGAGAGAGAGAGAGAGAGAGAGAGAGGGGAAGGGGGGAGGAATGT